GCTTACAAGCCTGTACGCTGCTCAAACGCTCACGCATTCCTCTCCATGCTTCAACCATGTGGCCTCAAACGCTCACTCATTCCTCTACATGCTTCAACCATGTGCCCTCCGATGTCATCAGGAGGCTTCCTGCATAACCCCTTTGCCTTTAGGCCCACCTCACCCAAGCCCCCACTGAGCTGTGAGGGCCGATATGGCCTTGCCCTCAACTTATACTTTATGCCTTCCGTTGCAGATGCTGCCTTGCTCATCCCGCGAGTGCTGATTGGCTAGAACCATCCTGCGTAGGACCATAGGTGTCTGCCCGACCGGTCTCCACTCTCTGAATTGATGACAAGTTTGGTTAAAATGGCTCTTGAGTTTTGTTATAAATGGCATGACAAATTGTCTGCAATTTTAGGCCTCCGTTAACCCGCTCTCAAACCGTTGAAACACAGACCGGAGTTGGAACTCCGCTGGAAGCAGATTAGTGAACGGTCGGTTCGATGATAATATCTCAAGGTTGTAGCCATTTCACTACTTAGGGGCTCCTTAGACACTCCTCGGGCACGTAAAATCTACAAGGACGTGATTGTTCCACCTATCCTCGGGGAAGAAATTGGAAAAAGAATGTGAAAACATTTCCTCGAGGAATCCTTGTAGCATCCTTGTCGCCCAGCCATTCCGTGCCCTAGTGCAAGGGACCTCGCGAGGTCCCTCGGAGCTCAAGGATCAGCGATAATCGGAGCGGCGAAGGCACATGTCGTCGGCAACTTTCTTTTTTCGGCTGGTCCATTGGTGTTCCGCCAGCGGCTGCACGGACATCTTCAGGCCTCAACGTTGGGATTTCAGGCAATGGGTCGTCAACGGTTACTGTTAGAGGATGGCTGTCGTCGGGGTTCGTCTTCAATTGGGACTGTCGTCGCGGTGTGTCCCGCCAGCTTTGTAGGGGTTCAACAGTCGGGAAAATTAAATATTTTTCCCGATCCCCCTCCCGCATCCCCACTCATGTCGGCGAGGTGTGTCGTATGCTGTCCTCTACCATTTGCTCCTTTCATTGTCGCTGTTTGGACTTTCTTCATGCTGTCATTCAGGCAATCAACTTGTAGTGCCATCTGTTCACTCTCTCTCTATCTTGGTACGTGGGCCCGGCAGCTCGCTGTCAGTACAATCACATATTATCAGTTTCCAACAAGCCACTCCAATGTTCCGGGACGCTGGACCCGCTTGGACCCGCTTTCCAGCAGGTGCTGCTCCCCACCAATAGATGGATGGAACCTATCTGGGAGTGCTAGTGGTGCCTGCTCATATCAGCACCCCTAGCATTAGCTTGGGTTGTCAAAATTTAAGAAAAAAAGAAAAGAAAAAAAGAAAAAGAAAAAGAACAAAAGAGAGAGAGAGAGAGAGAGAGAGAGAGAGAGAGAGAGAGAGAGAGAGAGAGAGAGNAGAGAGAGAGAGAGAGAGAGAGAGAGAGAGAGAGAGAGAGAGAGAGAGAGAGAGAATCATGATGGAGTCGTTCCGCAAATTATAAGGCTTGGAGAAGGCCCAGTAGTGCAGCAGGGTAGGAAGATGGTGGGCCCAAGGAAAAGGGGCGAATGGACCGCAAGGTGTCCTCAGGCTGTTTGTCTGCACGGTTCACGTGTTTCTACATGCACGGCTCTTTCTGATGCGACTCCCCATGACAGCCGGGGAGCCTGAGCAATGCATTCCCTGTCAGGCCTCCTTTCATTTCAGGGCATTATCGCGCTACCGTCTTCACCCGAATAGAACGCCCGGTCATTATAGCTGTATTTGGTGCTATTTTAAGTCCAGATACAACCATAATGACCAGGCGTTCCTGAATGTATCTGACTGCCATTATGGCCAGGTTTGGGGTGGCACATGAGTGAAAACTAGCAACTGATGGCCTCCTTTTTGTTCCGTCTGCTGTGTGCCGCACGTCCAGTGCCGCCGGCGGTGCCGCAGCCACCCTGCATTTTCCCATCACAGGTAACGTTGCTTCCAGGGTCGGATGTACTGGTGGCAAATTTTCCAATTTGTGCAGACTCGGATGTACTGGTGGCTCAAGTTCAAGTTTAAAACCACCCACCTGAGTCGCTGCAATTCCTGGGTCAACCTACCAGCTGCGGAAGTGTGTAAAATCTCCAGTGCACCGACTTTGGCAATTTTTCCCGCTCGTAATTGTTAGCGAGAAAATTATGAAAATTGAATGCTCCTTATTCAGGGAAAACTAATTAGTGGGGAAACCTGGGAAAGACTTCTGGATGGCAACAAGCATTCAGGCCGTCTGTAAAGTAGCTTTTTTTTTTTTATATTCTTTTTTTGAAAAAGGATCAATTTTTATCATACCCCTTAAGCAGCATTGGCCGTGGGGGGGGAGGTCGATGGTCCGCTGCGCACCGGATTTGGGGTCGAAGTTTTGAGGAGGGCCGGCGGATGAAGGGGACCCAGGGCGGGGGACTGTGCAGAGGGGCGTGCGTACCGAAATGTTCACAGCGCGCAATTAAACGAGTGAGCGCGCCCATGGGGCCGGGCGGCGGCGGGCGTAGATGTGAGGGAATATATTGAAGCCGCTGCCGTCGATAAGCAGGTGGCCTTTTTTTCTTTTAGCATTTTCGTTTTTGGCCTGTCGTTCCCCGCTTTTTGTTTCGTGGTCGGTGTGTCGTTCCTCTTTTTTTTCCCCTTATTTTTCCCGCTTTTTGTTTTTTTTTTTTCTTTTTGTTTCCCGGTGGGTGTGTCGGTGGGTGTGTCGTTTTGTCGTTTCATTTTCTCTTTTCTTTTTGCTTCCCGGTGGGCGTGTTGTTTCCCGGTGGGCGTGTCGTTTCCCACTTTTTGGTTGTGGGCGTAGGCCGCACCGCCCACACCGCGGGCGCTACGCTAGTTGATATGAAGGCCAGGAACCGGGCCGGTATGTAGAGTAGGTTCTTCTGTGCAGGGAGAAGACATTAGAGAAAGAAATTCGAAAGACAATTACCTTCGAGGTTTTTTGTTTTGTTTTCCTGTCGCAAACTGAAGGCATATAGTTGCCCCTCTTCGCTGTGACCCAGTAGGCCCGACCACTCTAAAGGTTGAACAAAATAGGGTTCACAGTACTGGGAGTTTGAATCGCCAGTTCAGCGGCGTCTATTTTGCCAAACATACATGGGGCCATAAACCACCAGTACAGGCCAGCCATCGGCCTACACTCTATCTGTCATTACCTCCATCCCATAGTCCGCACTTGGCTCCGCCGATCTCTTACGAGTAGAGGCCACCAAGCTGCAACGCTGCCAAAATGTGCAGTCGTGGCGGTATTCCTCGGGTTGTGGCAGACTGGTGTTTTAAAGCATACAGTACTGTCAGTACATGGGCTCACATTCTGGAGGCGCAAAATGAAAACGTGGCCGCAGATTGAATTTATCAACGGTGGGCCCAGCATTTGACGTCGTTTCGGCCCTGTTATCTCGTGGTTCCGGACTGCAAGGCTGGGGCCGTGTACTTGTGTGGTCTAACTCCATTCTTGCCCTCCTTTGCAACTCACTCACTCTTTTCCCTTCTTTTTTTTCTTTGGGATAAAGCCGTCTTTTTTTTGGGGGGACACTTTACATATCTTTCCCATGACCAAAGGGTACTCCCTTTCTTGCCCTAGACATAGTGGGCATGTGATGTCGATCTTTCGATATATGTCCCATCTCTCACATCTACCTCTGCCTCTGCCCCACCTGTGCACCTCCCTTTTCTTCTTGATCTTATAGTGCAAATTACTCCAAATCATGTGATCCTCTCACACTCATTTAAATTTTCAGTCCTGATTCATTCAAAGCTCGCGTGTTGGCAAACTGTTGACGTGTTATCTGGATTGCCATTGGTTGCCGCGGCACTGTCATCAACATAGCGTACCAGTATGGGTTCATCCCCCACAAGATCAATTCTGAGCGACTTGGCGAGGACTCACATTTGCTCACCATTCTTCATCTTGTGGTGCCTCTGGAACTACAGTCACCGCATGTGCGTGAATGTTTTGGTTCTCATGGAAAGCTTTCAACTGTAATGCGTGAACTGTGTATAGATAACTTAAAGAGCACTAGAAAGTGCAAGATCCCTTGGTGGACTCACAGACACAGTACCACTGTGTAGTCATCCGAAGACAGAGCCACACCGTAGTGAGCTTGCGGGGCAAAGGTGTCTGCCATGGCAGCTTGTCTGTATGATATGAGGGAATCTGTATACATATCCGTATGTGTAATGCTGAGCATTTCGGCAATGAGCTCTGTGAGTGGCTGGTCGGAGAGAGAGAGAGAGAGAGAGAGAGAGAGAGAGAGAGAGAGAGAGAGAGAGAGAGAGAGAGAGAGAGAGAGGTGCGCATCACACCCTGTGCACTGCACGGCAAGCGAACCACAAAGGTGCACCGCAGTATTACATGTTTCTTTCCCAATACGATGACACGTTTATTTGTTCCAGACAAATGCGCAGGTGCGCTCGCATCACAGAGGAGCGCACTGTGCCCCACACCGCACAGCGCTGGCGGTGTGCTGCAGTTCTTTCCCAATACGATCACACACGTTTATTTGTTGCTCAGTGCTACCAATACTGTGACCTGTCGATCATTCGGATGGCTCCTAGTGACAGCTGAACGGTTCCCCTTGCCGTCTGAATGGTCTGGTGTTTGGTGTCCCGTGCCAATCTCAAAAGCAAATGCTAGACCCACACAGTTCTTCTTGTCCCATAAAAAGCTGACACGCAGACTGTTTTTTTTTTTTTTTCTTTTCTTTTTTTTTAATGAAACATCGCGGATGGGCGTGGGGGAGATGCCAATAAGAGCAGACACCCCCTCCACGTACCCTGTTTGCGAACGCAGACTGTGCTTCAATTAGAGGACAGGAAGACGTTCCATGTTTCAAAAAAAAAAAAAAAAAAAAAAAAAAAAAAAAAAAGGACAAAGAAAGAGCAAGACAGTTGAGGAAAAAGAATAACAAAAACACATATCATATAATTCTCAAAAAGATGTTAAAACTGTAACTTTAAAATGGACAACATATTAACATACTAATAATTTTTTATTTTGTTTTTAATAATAATTTAGTGGTAACTTTTTCTTACACGTTTACAACTTACAACCCTGCTTCCTTGGACCATTTTTTCAACCCCCCAAATGGCCATTTCAACCCCCAAATGGCCAGTTTCTGAATCCTCAGGCCAGCCCAGCCTCAGGGTTTTGCTTCTCTCATTCCCTTCATTTTTTGGCCCTTTGCTCTCTTCTTTATTTTCTTCTGTCCCTTCTTCTTTTCTTTTTTATATATATATTCTGTCCCTTCTTCTCAAGCACTCGCTTGTGCAGCTGGAGCTGCCGTTGGTACCGACGTATCAGGAACATACTGTGTACTCTTCAGGTCAAGCAAACCCTTCTCTTTCAACTTGGGGTCGAACCGTAGGGTTTCCGAGACGTTTCTAAGCTTGAATTGCTCCACCAGTTGACTTTCTATGCGGCGCGCCACATTTTTCAGGGTGCGGGCTCGCTTGGGTCCCTCTTCTGTCTTTTCAATCAGCTCCTTCTCCTCGTCCGTCATCAACGGTTTGCAGTCCAGCGCGTTTTCCCACAGGTGCTGGATCTCTCCCCCATCGTTTCCGGGTGGGCGGGTGTCATTCTCTGTGATCCAGGCCGTCTGAATCGATTCCAAGACTGCGCGGCTCGGACTTGCGATATGCACAACCTTTACAAAATGGCATTTTGAAGGCATTCTGGCAAAATGAAGCCTCATGCTCTGATAAACCTGGCGAGACATGCCGACATACTGCAGTGTTTTGTCTTCGTCAAAGACAGCGAAAACGCTCGCCTTGGCTCCAGCCTTGGTGCAGTCAACAATCTTCCCTTCCTCTGTCACATATGGTTGGTATTCCAGGTCCCGAAGTCGAACCACGCTCTTGTCCGCACCGGTCCCGCTGCGCTGGTGTTGCTGCTGTAGTCTATACTCATCCTGCTTCTGCTGAGACAACCGGCGCGTCAACTCCGCGCGGGCATTTGCTGCCTCCAGCTTCTGCTTCCATTTTGGCACCGTAGGTGGAGTTGGTGCCGACTGGCCGGTCTCTGACACAGATGACTGAGCAGACTCCGACACGGACTCCGAGGACGAAGATGCAGCCGCCCTGACACCAGTGTGATGAGACCTGTGTCTACAAAACCGCTGCTTCGCAACACGGTCACTGGACAAGGCCAAATGCTGCTGATGGTGCTTCCAGAGGAGACGATGCCTCAGCGGTTGCCACGCTACTCTGTCTTTCACAACAAGGACATCGTGTCCTGGATGACACCCTGGAATGACATCAGCGGCAGCAACAGCTGCTGCTTGGATGCACGGAGTGGCTGTCGCTATTCTTGTCAGTGGAGCTGACAATGGAGAAGGTGAGTTGGCGATTGCAACGGAAATCGCCATTCTATCACGACTGCATAAACTTGTTGGCGTCAGCACAGCCGTGGATGCCGCCATCAAACCTTCCTCTGCCCGTACCGCGTTGCTGCTCCTTCCTTTTTGTACTCTGTCACCCTGAAGCACCTAAATACAATGCCCCCTTCTTCACTCACAGCTCAACAATGCCACAACCCGCCATCAGATTGCCGCAGCCCCCCATTATTGGGGTTTCACCATTGTGTACCACCCTGTCACACCACGCCTTGACTCAGAGCTGAAAATTTACAGGAGGTCTATCTGCCGAGAGGTGCTGTGACCCTCTCCGCCCTCCTCCGCAAAATGGTTCCACTATGAGTAGTTTGTCACTCTCACTCACTCCTTTCAATATCATCAGCCAGATCTATCTCTTCTCTCATCGCAAAACAACACGCAGAGGTCGAGCCACTTTTGCTTCCCCTTTCTTTCCCAATCAAATTGCTGCTCGGCGCCCGGCAAATTGCTGCCCCTCAATATGACTCTACTCAGCGCCTTGGGCAGTAGAAAACACCGGTGGTGTCTGTGTCACCCACACCACGACAAGAGGACCTCCAGCGCACCCTTCCTTCCCTCTCTCCCAGCCAACCTAACTACAAACCCTGTGGCGACGATCGCATTCAGTCCCGCTTCCCTCTTTGCCTGCAAGCTGTAGACCTGCAAGCCAACACCAAAGACGAGCCATGGCCATTATCAGCAAGATCAATTTGCTCAAGAGTCAAGCTGTCACTAGAACTCCGCAATAGCCAGCACCGTTGGGTCAGAGAGAATCAAGTGCACATGCAGTGAGTCGCGAGGAAACGGGGAACGCGGTAGGGTGGATGGCTGCACAACTCAATCAATGGTCGAGCCGCAGTCTGAGGTTCATGTCGGTAACAGGGGCAGTTGTTGGAAGACAAGGAGGACAAGGCGGCAGTTGTTGGAAGACAAGGAGGACAAGGCGGCA